AAAAAAAAAAAAAAGACACATATACACCCCCACTTGACTTTGAGAGCTAACAAATATTCATCACCCAGAGATTCACTGCTACCTTAACACAGCACAAATCCTGCATTACCACAGCATCACAAACTCACCACCTAACTACTGGCATCGGGCAGCATAAAGGAGACCTACCAATAGTGAGATCATGGACTGGTTGAAACCGCTTGTCTGTAAACTGTAACAATAAACATGATTTCCCAACACCTAAAAGAAAGAAAAGAAAGAAGTGTTAAGCAAATTTTAAAAAAACACAAATTAATTTCTATTGATTCTTTACAGGTTTAAGCAAATGATATATATTGTTTAAAATTCATTACTAGAACTTGAGAGATTACATCTCACCTACTCACACTCCCATCCATCTCCTAATTTATCACCTAAGTGACATCTGTGGCTGCCTAAAACCACGATATGTTACTGCCCACTGGTTCCCAATAGGCCAAAAAGCAGTCCAAGAACTGGCAACAACTGAGTTCACAGTACAGTCAGACAGACAACACAGTCCCCCTCCAACCTAAGTCAGAAGCCAGAGTAACTATTTCACATTACATGGATATTGGTCAGCAAAAGGGCAATTTCTTCTCTATGTGAAAGCACAGAAAAGTAGAAGTTAATGCTGCCGAAAGTAGTATTCAAACTACCTAAGTTTGTAAACGTAATACTTTTTATGGTTAATTTTTCCTTGTTCTTCTACTTGGAGGAGTTATCCTTCCAGTTTTGTTCAGTCAAACTTCGTATTTTCAGCCTTTTAAAATGTAACAGTAGTATATTTACTTTACATGTATTTAAACTCTCAACAATTATAACATACAGTACTGAAGCATCCAAGTTCCTGCTGTACTTTGCTTTATCTGTCCAGCAAGATATGGCTATTTTAGCCACATACTAGAGGTCAGCAACAGCTCATCGGAAGAGACATATCTGGTAATAAAAGACACCAAATAAAGGGATATGGAAAAGAACCACACTGCAGACACACGATAGGCACACTAGAGGTTTGCACAGAGTGACACTGATCTTTCTTATACTAAACTCAGCAAAGTTAGAATGATTTAGAGAAGAAACAAAGCCTACATAAACAATCACCACCCATCTGTCATTTTAGGCTTAAAAAGCTTGGATCAGTGGTCAGTTTATTTAAATCTAACAGAAATGAGACCTGCACTTAGTTTTGTCACAAAATGAGTTGTGACCAATTGATGACACTCAGATTAATATCCCAAACAGTGCACCAATTCCAACAACCTAGGCCAGTTATTGGTGTCTTTACTCTCTTCCCTATGTGCATGCCCATTTCTCCATATGGCTTAGATGAGTTTTGAAGCAATTTCAATTGTCCTCTGGGTTAGCACACTAATCTGACAAGAAGAGTGACAAAGCAAACAGAAATAGCTTAATGCAGGGTCAGACAAGCATGAGAGTTCATTCAAATGAGGGAAAAGAAGCGCAGCAGCCAGCAGGTCAATAACTTAGAGTGGCATGGAACTGTAGTTGAAGGCAAAATTTGCATCTGCCTCACTAGATCTCTTTTCTGTAGCTATTTGGCTTATGATGGCAAGCTGTCAGAACATAAGCAGCTTGGAAGCAGGTACAGATTTTGTTCAGAAAACATTAGTAAACACAAGAAGTGAAGGAGGAATGGAGGAAAGCGCTGGAGGTAAGAAAGAAAAAGGGAGGACAGGTGGAGAGTACTGGAGCTGTAAGGACAGAGAACACAAAACTCTAAGGAATCTTAAAATATTAATAATTCTACTCACAAAACACTTTATATATAAAGATAACTTTTCTATCACCATTGAAATATAAGTACCCTATCACAGAACATAATCAACACCTCACTTACAAAAAACAACCTGTAAGTCACACCAGAAACAGCTTTTGCCTTTAACCTTACAAAAATGATTTCTGGATAAACCAGAACCTCAAACCAATCAAATATTGCTGCATAAATCTTACAAATGTTGGAACAATATTTCATAAGCTAATCGACAAAGTGACACTTGACCGGTGTTCCAGCACTAGTTCTCAAGGGGCAGTCTGATATTTCTTCCTCTTGTAAGGCCGGTGACCAACTTGGTTAGAGTGAACAAACAAACACCCTCGTCAGCAGAGTGAAGATGACAGACAAGCACAGCCCCTGTGATGCAAGCCCTGTCTCAGACTGGCACAGGATGACTGCACCTCTAGTTATACCTCCATAGCAGGCCTTTTAGCAGCAGACTGCAGACTGATGGTTTCACACACAGAAACAGAAAAAAAAAATTAGTTTCTGTTTAATGCCATTCCTGATACATCAAAACCTTACAGCAAAAAGCCATCTGAAAGTTCCTAAGTTCTGTATTGCTGCTGGCTGACACAGAGGTTCAAAAAGTTGCAAACAAGGTTGTCATGCCTATTAAGTTTAGGTTATAAATACTTTGTTGTTTATATTAAAATTCAAACAAAATGTAACTATGAATAGTTGTAAGATATTGCAAGTTTGTATCCCAAAAGTTCTTAAGAGAATAGTTCCTAGCCCATACGCTTCCAGAGCCTGAGCAGACTGTGCTATCACAGACACAGCCAGGAATACGTATCAGGAACAGGAGCTGTATATGAACTCCTGAGTAGTTTACCACCTCATGACATAAACAGATGCGGCAAAGATCAACTAACAGTTGCGGCAAAGATCAACTAACAGTTGCATGGCAGCTAACTCCATGGCACACAGGTGGCTTAAAGTAACTACGCTGGTTAACTTTAAAAGCAGAGTGGCTGCTCACCAGCTATCTCATTCACTTAGCACTGTAAATATTAAAACATGAAATGAGGCAGACACTCTGTGGAAAGTAGGTGAGTGTGTCTTATGATAGTTGCAGAACACAAAAGGGATAGATTCAGTTATTTATTAGCTTATTCGCCATTTTACTGCCACAATTATTTTAATACAGCTTCAGATAAAACATCCCCAGAGGAAAAAAAAAAATAAAATCTAGTATTTCAGAGCAAGAGAGCGTGGATACACTTCAACAACCACAATAAACAAAGGCTCTTGCCTAGGAACAAATGAAAACAATGGATTATGTGCTCAGAGGGGAGGCAGTTCGTTTCTTTCCAAGTGCCTGCTTTAGGATCCCTTCGCTTCCTAGAACTCAAAAGGTGATGGGAAGCGGAACTTGTGCTACAGTAATTTTACCCTCCAGCTCTGAATTCCAACCCAGCAGACTGAGTCCCTTCTCCAAATTCCTCTGCCTCCCTTGAAAGCTCCCTCTTTATCCGGGTGCCACTCTGCAGTCAATTTCCCTAAGCAAGGCACTGCCAGAGCGTTGCTATTGTCCACTTTGGCACAGCTTCAGCACCTCCCTCCCTTATATCAACACTTGTGTTCATTCCAGGGCTCAGCAAGCCAGGGTAGCTCAGTGATAAAGCTGTCCTTTCCCTTCTCACTCATAGGTTATGCAATGAACTACACCAAGAAACGGATCCAGCATAGGACTATAGTCACCCAAACACTAGTATGTGCATGACACTAGGGCTACAAAATACATAACAAAGTTAAGGGTTGTTCTTTTGAGTAGCGAGCTGAACTCAAGGTAATTAAAAAAAAAAAAAAAAAGCAGCAGCTCTGGAACCACAGCACGGGTGATGATACAGCTGAACCAGGCTTTGGTTTGGCTAAGAGACCTGACTTGCTTCTCCCTTCCAGTTCCTATGAGCTCCTTCCAGGCTTTTCTTACCACTAGACAAAACTCATAAGTGTTTCTTCTGCTGATGTTTGCCTTGAAAAGCTAACATGGCTCAAAACTAAAAATGCCCCAAAAATGGGAGTAAAGGGGCTAATATAATTTTCTTACCTGCTCACCCGAGCACAACTATAGCCCAAGAAAAGTGACAGAAGAAAAGAACTGTGGTGGTAGTCCTCCCAACCTGGGTTTTAAAACTGAATCCTAAAGACAAATCTTCTCTGTTAATCTACCTGCTGTCTCTGATGAGTAGACTCACTCCTTCCCACACAGTTCCACCTCCTTACTCAAAAGGGTCCTTGCACTGATCTGACCATATCTGCTATTTGTTTGATTTTGTTTTTCAAATCATCTCTGTCAGCTGAGCTAGCTCTCTGAAGGATCACAAAAGCAGTGATGGTGACAGCTAAGCAGCAGCACAGTTCATAGTAGAGACAAGAAGTGGTAACAAGACCTACTCGCTTTGGCAGCAGATAAACACTGAATTAATTCAGCCATCTCACAGAACTATTTTTCTCATGGTTGCTTCACACAACAGAGTGATCAATCAGCTCACCATCTACACAGATGAGGACCTTTGATCTTGCTCCCACCAATCCTCCTAGGTCCAGTTTCCTCCCCTGAAAGTATTCCAGATCTTGGAAAGCACAGCTCCAAGGCCAAATCAGCTGTAAAAGACTTAACCTAAAAAGTAGGTAGCTTTCTACTGTGTTAGTGAGTTGATCCAGATCATGACAGACTATGAAAGTCACCAAAAAGTAAGGGGAGCAACAACTCCATTCACACGGAACCAACTATGTCAGCTTGGATGTCCTTGAAACCAATGCCACAACACCAACTGAGCTGAAACAAGCTTCCCACTTCTCTTATCTTCTTTCAGAAAAACAAACAAAAATAAATCTTTAAATAGCTTAAGGACATTTTTAAACAACAGGCAAGTCTCAAATAACAGATTTTAAAACTTACTTGGATTTAAACCCTGTAATTACATAGTACAAATGTCACAAGATTTATACCTCTAACCTGGCTTATGAGGTACTTTTAGTTCTTTACAGTGGTCTGCAGAGCTTCCAGATGTTAAATAAGCCCTTTTCTTATTGCAGGCTGCAGTTCATTCACTCTTCTTCCTTTCCAACCACAGAGAGTCAGGAAAGTGCAGTACTACCCTTTCACAGGACTCAGCATAACATGACATTAACCTGAAGCAAAGATTTTTCTTAACCTCTTTTCAGCCAGTTATCTGTTGGTCAAAACTCTGTCATCAAATGGGAAAGCTTTATTTAAATTTATAGAAAGGACAAACCAAAAAATTCCAAACTGTCAGTTACAGAGCAAAGGGACTTCACACACAAATGTAAGCATGGACAAGAAGGGAAGACAAATAACCTCCAAAATGCTTCACAATGGTTACATAATTTTGGGAAAAGTAATGTAGCAAAGATGGGTTTTTTACTCTTTAAGAGCTTAGTATCTTTCTTATATTGTGGTGCCCAAAACTGCACACAATATTCAAGGTGAGGTCACAGTAGTGCAGAGCAGAGCGGGACAATCCCCTCTCTCAACCAGCTGGCAATGCCTTGCCCGATGCCTCCAGGACACGGTCAAGCCCTCCTGATTGCCCGGGCACTGCTGACTGATATTCAATTTGCCATCAATTAAAGTATCATTGAAAGGGTCACAAAGTAAGATATAAGGAGTACAGATCAGTACTCTGGTATTCAGTACAAACAAGTTCTCAAGCTATCACAGGGTGTTAACACCATCTCTAGTGGGATGAAAACCTGTTTAACCAAGAAGTGGTATATACATGCAGAAATTAAGGGCAAGAGACTCTGGTCATGCACACTGCTAGCTAGTAACAGCTGCTGTTCCAGAACAAAGTGCAAAAACACTAGAAACATTTCACAAGGAGGACTGAAAAACAAACCAAATTCAACTGCTTAATTTCAACATTTGAGTCTCTTAGACAAATGAAATGGTTGACTAGACATCCTACTTTACTCTAGAGAGTAAGGAGGATTAGATCATCTAGTAATTATATTTTCTTTCATCATCATCATCTCCTAATAAGAGTAACTTTGAGATACTGTTAGTCTAGAACTAGAAACTATCTGCTGAAATTGAAAGGCAAAAATCTCAGAGGGTTGCTCTGAGCAGAAGACAGACCTGCTCATGGAAGATGCCACAACACTGATCATAGAAAGACATTTAGATGGACTATAACCGACAAGTTATGTTGGTGACAAGAAACCTGACCATTGCAAAACCAATAGTTTAGGTGTACTAAAGTTCAGGAGCATTCTCTGACGGAATCTAGTAAATATACTCTAATATAAGAAAATTCCGTTTAATGAGTATTAAATATTCTGGAAAAAAAAAATCTAGCTCTAGTACTCTTATAAATCTTATATCATTCCCAGTTTCCCATGTGGTACATTGGTGGTAACAAACATTTAAGTAAAAAAGATTTCACCCTATACAGAAAAATATCTAAAAAGAAAGTGACAGACTTTCAGTCACCAACTGCAGAAACTGCCAATACTTGTATGCCGAGAGTATTCACCCTACTCAGATCAAAGTCCATCTCAACTTCACTTGGTGGCCAAGAGCAGATGTGTAGGGAAGAGTGGATGAAGACACCAACTCCTACCAGCAACCAAAATGAAAGACACCAACAACAACAAAGGCAAAGGTCTCAGAGGTAGAGCCCTAAGCAGAATGATCCACATATGCTTCTAAACAACTTCGCAAACTCTTATAATGCTTTGGAAATATTCAGATCAAAAGATTTTTCCTGGTCAACTCTCACAGCAGTCAATATTCCAAATACTTCTATTTTTCTCTTATAGGTAAGGGCTCCATGAAACTCTACAGCCATTGTCCCACTGATATAATGTAAAACCCACACAAATTTATGGCAATATTGTTTGAGTACCTGAAATACAGCAAAGCCACTCCAGGTTTCCCCCACAACAAAAAACTAACTAGATCCTAAATTAATTCCAACTATACAGAAAAAAAAATTATATATTAAAAAAATAGAGCTAACAACCAGATGAGAATCAATCCCACGTTCACAAAGCTGCCATGCCTGAAGTACCAGAAAAAAAGTCAGTGAACATCCATGACCAATGAAGCAGGCAATGCAAAGGGACAAGAGCTGTTGAGCACAAAGCAGTCTTGCTCAATCAGTTTCTGTGGCTGTCATTTTAAGAGACTGAGATCATACTGAATTCCTGTGTTTAAGCAGATGAAAGCATGTGGAATCACAAGTCAGAGAAGGCACATGCAGGTGTCTTGTATAACTGCAGGGGGTTTTTGTTGGTTTGCTTATGGTTCACACAACCCACTTGGTTTTTTTAGTGCTGAAAAGCAAGAGGAGCTAAATGTTAACATCTGTCCTCAGCTGAGTCTTACATTTCTCCTACAGTTTGTTTACAACTAATTGCTGAGTCACCAGGCAGCTGAGCCATTCCCAAAGACTCTAAATCAAGTATCAGAGACAAATTTCTTGTTCACTATGAAATCTACGTAGTCTGCAAGGCCAATGGCATATCTTCAACTCAGCGAAATGCTGTGGGAGACCATCACTGGAACTGAACAGGACAGTCACCATCCACTCCTAATTTCCATCATCAGAGCTGTGAGTTCAACTGCCTTCACCTGAGGAAGAGTGCTAACTCCTAAACCATCACCCTCATTTTGGCAACAGACAAATATGCACAATATAAATTGGCTCTTCAGTACTAGCTCTATTAGAATACTTAAAAGGCTCACAGGAGATCTAAAAAAAAGCAAAACCAACTTACCGCTATTGACATATTTAATTCACTTCAAGAACAATCATTGCAGGAGTTTTAATTAGCTTCCTGTAGCAACTCAGAATAAAAGCCACAGGAATTAAAAAAATTTACCCAAACCCCAAACTTGTGAGCCATTTTCCTCTCTTTGTTTCCTTTCTCTACCTTACTCTTCCCATATCTGACTTTTAAGCAGCTGCAACTACTTCAGAAGTGACACACATTAATTCTGTATTTCACATTTCAAGCAAGTGAAATGCAAGAGTGCAGCACAGACCATTACACTGAGGCTATTTCATTGTAAAAATTTAATAAGTATAGAATCAATGTAGCAAACCAACTGTTTGCTGCTGTCTCTACCACTTCGATGATTATAGTTTTTAGAGATGCACCAGAATTGGCTACACTGTTTCTGAACTGTGCACTACCATCTTGTATCACCCTGGGCTGACAAACAAACCTCTTCTTACTTCTCCTGAATTTGCTCAGGTGATCTCCTGCCCTCTGGTTTAATGAACTGTCATTCCACTAAAAACTCAAAAAAAAAAAAAAATCATCAGAATTTTCAGTAATCATCTACAGCCTAATGCTTCCAACACGGTCATTATAGCTGTAATATATTTCTTAAGATTCATTTGTACTACAGCTGCTACTGCAGTAGCCTAAAAAAGCTTTCAGAGTTTAAATGTAGGTTTAAAAAAAAGGACGAAAATCACATAGCAGTTGCATCCAGAGTATTTAACAACCTCATGTGTAATGCAACTGTAATGTATAATTATACTCCAGCAACAGATAATTTGGTTCACAGGTATGAAGTACAATTATGCAGCTACCCTTAGAATACCATCTAAAATAACAGGTGTATCCTCAAACTTGTTAAAGAAGGTATTTAGACAGGTATGAGGAAAACAACAAAGCACATGTACAATACACAGGTACAATAGTTAACTATGTTAGTTGCCATGTCCTGGCAACAGTTTGATCAATGCTACTCCCATCCACACTAGGCTGAGGAGGCATAAAACACACTGGCAAAGGGGCTTCCAACAGCAATTCCTAGCAGCATATGGCTCTGCCAGCAGCATTCGTAAGCATTATTTGTCACAGTTAGCAGTTAGAAATCGAATGCAGTAAATTTTTAAAAGGTGTTCAAGGCCAGGTTAGGTGGGGCCTTGAGCAACCTTGTCTAGTGGGAGGTGTCCGTGGCTATGGCAAAGGGGGGCACAGGATTAGATGATCTTTAAGGTCCGTTCCAAACCCTTGACATTTTACGACTTAATATGTTTTAAAAAGTGGCAGGAAATATCTGGAAAATCAGTGGTATTTAAAGAAAAAAATCCTTGTAAATTAAGAGTGAAGGAGCTAGGGCTTTTAATTTTCCTTTGACAGCATGTCTTCACACACTTTGCTACAGCACCTCCCGCCGAGGCTGGAAAGAGCATCCTTGGGGCCTGAGCTGAAGGTAACTCACAGCAGCGAGGTACAAACCTCACCACGGAACTGCGGGGTGGCGTGTGGCACCTCTCAGGCCTCGCTGCAAACCGGGGGCACTGCCTAGGAACAAGTTCAGCTGTGACACCTTCTCCCTCCCCGCTGCCCAGCCTCGGCCAGGGCCGTGACACAGCCCGAGCCGCCCCGCGGCCCGTCAGCCGGGCCCGGGGGCGGCTGCCAGGGGCTCAAGGCCTTCGGGAGACAAGGCCGAAACAGCGGGCGGGGCCCGGCGCGAAGGCGGAGGGGAGACGGCGCCTCCTCCCCGCGCGGAGGCACCACGTCGGCGGTACTGCCAGCACTGCGGAAATGGGCGCGGGGAGCCGGGCCCGGCCCTCGGCCGCCCGCCCCTCCGGGCCTGGCCGTGCCGGGCCATGCCGCACCGACCCACCTGTGTCGCCGATGATGATGTACTTGAAGAGGTACGCGTAGGCCATGGCCGCTCCCGGTGCCGCTCCCGGGCTGTCCCGCGCTCACTCCGGCGTGACGCGCGCGCTCGCCACCCGGGCTCGCGCTGCGGAGAGGCGGAAGCGGGTTAACGGCCCCCGGGCGGCGCCTCCGCCCGCTCGCTCCCTCCTGCCTCCGCCTCCGCCGGCGGAGAGGCTGCGCTCGCTCGGGTGGCCGCTGCCCGCCCTCCCTCCGTCCCTCCCTCCCGCCGCGGCCCGGCGGTGTCGGGCACGGCAGAGCGCGGCGGCGGCGAGAACAATAAACAGGCGCCGAGCGGCCCCCGGACTCTCCGGCGACGTCAGCGCCCGCCCCCTCGCGCCGCCCCGCCCCCGACCCGGAAGTGCTGGGGCGCGCGGCCGCCGCCCGCCCCGCCCCGCCCCCTGCGCTGAGGGAGGGGCAGCCGGGGGGGTTCGCGGGGGTGCGGTCAGTGAATCCCGGGATTAGCTGGGCAGCCTGAGGGCATATCCTCTTGTTCTGCCACTTGTTACGTGGGAGAAGAAGCCGATCCCCACCTTGCTACACCTTCCTTTCAGGCAGTTGTAGAGAATGATAAGCTTTTCCCGAGCCGCCTTTTCTCCAGATTAAACAACCCCAGCCCCCTCAGCCTCTCCTCATAAAACTTGTGCTCTTCACCAGCCTGGTTGGCCTTCTTTGGACCCGCTCCAGCACCTCAATGCTCTTCCTGAATTGAGGGGTCCAAAGCATAAAACCTCTAAGCATAAACGGTAATGAGCAATTCAGTACAAATTATCTTCATAACATATAAAACCTGAGTTCTGGCATGGAAAAGGTTTTTTACTTTTTGTTTTTGTCCTTCCTCACTTAACTGGAAGCAATGAGCCAGGAGGGTACTTAAATTCACAGCTGGTGGTTAGGACTTTCTACTCAGAGTTCACGTGGGATGGGTGAGTTGGAAGAAATTTCAAGGCCTTCCATAGTCTGAGCTGCTTCATGAAGTGTCCTGTGTACCCAGACCTTTGGACCCGGAGCAGGTGAAGGCAGCTTGGCTCATGGATCGGATCCACACTGAGGCTGCATCAGATGCCTGGCAGTGGTAAAGGGGGCAGGACACTCCAGTCAGGTCACTGTGATGATGCTTTTGGATTCCCTTCAGATGAGCTGTTTGTTGACTCTGGATTGAGGGAACTGTTGAGGAGCCATTGGCAAGTTCTTCATAAAAACTCACATTTTACTCCCATTCTGGCTGATAGCTTTTAACTTTATAGAGGTGGTCAACAGATTGGCCAGCATTGACCTACGTGGCTTCTAAGAGATGTGCATCCAACTTACTTGTGAAATTCTTCAATAAAGCTGATTGTGCCAAATCCTGTTGTCATATTTCGTGACCTGAAACCCAAAATGAAGTTTGGTTTTTTTTTTTTTAAATTTTCCCTGTCCCCTGCAGATGTGCAAAAAACTCCCAACTTTGCTAATAAAGAGAAAGGAACTCTTTTTTATATTGTAAACATTATATCTACCCTTTTCACATAAAAAATTAATGTTTTCCATGACCACTTGTCAGACGTTTGTCTCCTTCATTTTTTTCTCCTCCGTACTTCTTCCAGTTTCTCAACACTATTTGTGAAGTTCAAGGTCCAAAACACCAGCCTCATCTGCTCAAAACAGGCAAATGAGTATCTGAAGTATTGCCCCTCTCTGAATGTGATTTTTTTTTCTTTTTTTTATCATTAACACCTGAATTTTATTTTTCATACTAGATCCCTATTTTAAACAGTTACTACTCAAATTTATCTATACATTTGGTATCTCCTTATTAAGAGCTGTTTTTCCCTTTGCTAAATTTTACATCCCTTTGCTAAATTTGATCTTGGCCACTCAGTTTAGCAAAAATGTTTGATATTTTTCATTTTCATATCTCAGACATTTTGTGACTCAGATTGTTCACGACACTATTGAACAGGTCTTGCCTGGACAGGACAGAGCATTGAAAAGTAGCATGCAAATTTTTCTCCTAGTTTAAAAACCCCTTACACACTGAAGAGAGCCATTTCTCTATTATTTTATGTACCAGTAGTTTTGATATACGTTTTTGTTATTTGACAGTTCCTGTCCAGAATGGGTTTTCTTGGAGAAACATGTTTTTGACTTGTTTCCTGTGAAAGTCAACCTTCTGTTTTTCACATATCACTGTGTGTCTATGTTCCACGCCCTAATAGTGATCATGAAATCTGGCATCTGGATGGAGCAGGGTACCTCGGCTGAAGGAAAAGCTGCAGTTGGGGTCAGCTGTCAAACCCAATCAAGAATTCACACTAAAACAAGTCTTCCCAAGTGCTTCCTCAGCAGCTAAGCCCTTCAGCTGGCATTCGTGCTGTTAGCATGGGTTTCTGTGACCTCAACCACTGGGGAAAAAAGCTGTAGGAGATCAGGCCGTAAGCAGATAAGATCTCATCCAGTATAAGTAAACGTTGCTGCTGAAAGGGATGGGGCAGGTCTGCCTCCACTAATCTGTTGGTGGACCCTCCCATGTTCTGGCACTCTCAGGGTCCTCTGCTGAATGAGGGAACAGGAGTGCCTAAGCTTTCATGTTTTCATATCAGCTTTCAGACAAAATCAAACTGGGTCCCCCAGCCACACCAACAAACTAAAATGCTTTTGACAGCCTTGTCAGTTGGATCCCACCTCTGCCCAGCTGTCCCCACTCTTCACAAAAGGTTCTGTGGTTGTGAAGGTTAAAGCCTGTTCTGTGAGATCAGTCATGCAGGCAGGTGTTGACGCAGGATGAGCCCTCTCCTTTAAATACTTCTCCTGTGACTGACAGGATGAAGGAGAACTGTGTGAGCTTCCCTGTTCTTTTTCTTCAGAGCCTTTCTGTTATTCATGACATGCTCCAAGTCTCCATTGGTACTATCTGGGTTTCCTACATGATTGAGCCACAAAGGATATTAATCTGAGGGTTGGTAAAGTCTTGGTAATCTGTCCTCAACATCCCAGGGTAAGAAGTTTCAAGTGTTTGATGGGGACACACTTTTTAATAAGGACTATAATGATAGGAGAAATGAGTAATGGTTTTAAACTAAAAGAAGGAGGATTTAGACTAGATATATGGAAGAATTTTTTTAGGATGAGGGTGGCGAAGCACTTGAACGTGTTCCCCAGGTAGGTGGTAGATGCCTCATCTCTGGAAACATTTGAGGACAGGTTGGATGGGGCTCTGAGCATCCAGATCTAGGTGAAGATGTCCCTGCTCTTTGCAGGGTGACCTTTAAATGTCCCTTCCAGCCCAAACCATTCCAGGACTCTCTGAGTCTATAATTCTATTTACCTCACTGATGGGATTTGATCTCTTAGTTCCCAAATTATGTGGTCTTTAAGACTTCCAGGCAAGCCAAATTGGCCTGATGTGATCGAATTAAATCTGATAAGAAAAGAGAATTCCATATTGTGGAACTGCCGTTTGCTGATGGGGAAAAAATACAGACAGTACAGAACGCCCAGTGAAGTGCAAGGTACTTTTAACACCACCACTGAGCCATCTGACAGCCTGCTGGCTGGACTAGCAGTGCAGAGGGATGCAGCCCTACCCGTTTTCTGCTTTGGCAGCCTGCTAAGCCACAGAGGTAACCAACTTGCAAGTGACCCACATGGCAGGGCTATGCCCCACTGACTTCCTCGGTGGTTACTCAGCTTGGGTCAGTAGCTGCACAGTGGTCAGATAGCCAGGCCTCTGCTGGTTAACCAGGCAGTGAGTGGCACTGGAGAGGCATTACCTGTGCTGGTCTGTGGAGTATTTTGGTCATTTGTGATGCTACAGTTGGGATATTTATTGAATCAGTGTTTGGCAGAGGCTTGCAAGGATAATATGCAAGAATTTGTTGATTATGCTATCCCATGGTAAATACAAACTCATTTGCTACTGGATAAGAGACTCTATACCTAAGTTATCGAGTCTTATCAGCTGTTCTGCAAATCTGAGATTCCTCCAACTATATATTAATGCAAAATTGATTTTCCTCCAATTTATGTGTAACATACATTTCTTTATAGACTAATAAGAGGCGTGTAAATAGCTACTGTAATAATACTATTTTTCTCATTCTTTACTTCTCAGCTGCTAAATTTCTGTTTTCCAGAAAAATTAATATCTTCTCTTGTTAAGTATTGGTACTCTAATAGAAGGCTACCATGAAGTCAGATTCACTGACTCCAGTTGATATAAAAGAAGCACTGATTATTCAGTATTGAAGCATTGTGCTTGCAGAGGGTTGTTTTATTTTTGTTTGGTTTTTTTTGTTGATGTTCTCTTGAATAATATATGTCATCTGTGAGTGATTTTGTATTGCATGTTCTCTAGAAGTATGACGAAATGCTTCACTATGATGACTGTATTAGGATTATATTCTGGCAAACTCAATACACTTGAGAAAACTACAACTTGCTCTTTTTTGTGTGCCACTTGGTTTTTTGCTGTATTTCCATCATTTATGACTGTGCAAACTCACTTTGGGTTTTTAGCAAAGCCTTGGGTTTTGCAGGATCCTTTCCACTAAGAGTGGTATTTAGGAAAGAGTGGTATTTAGGAAAGAGCCATGAAGGCACACAAAGCTTGGAATACTCTGCAGAGCAAAACATTAGACATGATTTTTTTTTTACAGAAGTTAAATGACAAAACCAGAACTCTAGCATAACATATGAATACAATAACTTTGATTATATTTTGCACTGTACTACAACTTAACTGTCAGAAGTCAGTCTCTACCCGCTCTTCAGTTTAACTTAAAATTTTTAAATCATTCTTTTGTCCAGTTAAATTATTTATACAGTTGCTGAGAAGGAAATGTTATTTTCTAGTGTCTGGAATTTAATGTGTCTCCAGTCACTATAATGTTTTACTACAGTTAAACTACATTGATAAAGAATTTTTTGAAATTAAAAATTCAGTTCTAATAGCATGTTTTGTTTTCAAAATATAAACTTGAGACTACATTTTTAAGCAAGTGCAACACAAAGTAAATTATAGTTCTTCAGGTTCCCAGCTGTATTCGTATTTTAGGTTTTTTCACCCTTGGAAATATTTACATTTCTTCTGCTTTATTCCTGCTTATTTACTAATGGCTTTTGCCACTGTTATCATTGCACCCTGTTTTTCCTTGCAAATAACCTTGTTTTTCACTGTGTTGACATAAAAATGAACAATCTGATAAGATAGCTCATGATAAATTTTAATGCACTTTTCCCATAAAAACAGGGGAAACAATAGGATCCCTGAAAAAGCCTTGGAATGGCTGACAGCCTAACTGGAAAGATACGCTGATTTTTTTGTTTTTTATTCTCAGGAGCATTAGAAAATATGTGCTTGTGTAACAAGATTCACAGAAGTATGGAGTAGTAGTGCCACACAGACAGTATCAGAGATCCATGCAAAATTCTACTTAAACTGACATAAGGTAAATTTTCAATTTTTTTTTTTTGCTTTAGAGCTTTTTCTTAAGATGTCTTTTTCTTAAGATGTCTTTTAAAAATTGTTTTGGCCATGGTTTGATAAAGAGAAAGTGGAAACTAAAGTTACTGCACAAGCTCACAGGAAATGTAAATTGTGAAAACTTCCTGTTTATACATAGCAAGAAGTGAGACAACATGGAGAAAAATGGTTTGCTTAAAAAGGCAAGCTTGGTCACATTTTTCTCTAAGCAAAAATATTTTGGTCTGAAAGGGTTAATAATAAGCTTTTATTTTTTTTTTCCTTCTTCTTCTATTCCAATAGTAATGATTTTTTTCTTTTCCAGACTCTCCCCTTGATGTTTTTTGGTGGCTGTAGAAGGCAAAGAACTGTCTAAGACTCTGGAAGTCAGCAGTGTTGCTAAAGGATTTGAGCTGCGGAAATCTTAGTGTCACAGAAATTATCTTTTTCCACCAAGACAATAGCAGATAACCTACCTTTTTTTTGTTTTGTTTTGTTTTGTTTTTGTTTTTGTTTTTGTTTTTGTCTAAAAGGTATAATAGCAATGTCTGGTAATTCTAACAAAAATGCTTGTAGCTAAACCATAGCTAAGATTATGTTAAAACGCTTCAACTTTTTATTGACATTCCTTAAAATTAAAAAAAAAAATAGCATGAAACTACAGTTTTATTTCTCTTTTAAGTACTTCTTCATTATGCATTCCACCGAATAAGCTTCAGCATGAGTTTTTTCAATTAGAAGATGTTTTACTTTAAAAAAATACATGTGTAGGCTCCTTTGATATTTAGCCATTGTTGATGTAGAGGGCAGCACGTGCTTCTGCATGCAATCAACCTTCATTTGATTGAGTACTTTTAAGAACTCCAGCCATCCTAGGGTTATTTCGGCACACTTTCCCTCACTTGTCTTCAGGCT